GGTCAAATCTTGCTCAAAAAAGCCCGGTCTAGATAGGGTTAAGTAGCCATAGGCTAGAAAGTTTACTTTAATTTTTAGATGCATCTTGCTGAGACACACACTGACATTAAATCTTATTTCTGATATGCATTTTCCTCGTAATAGTGAGTAAGTGGTTATCAAATTATAGATTGAATCTTTTTTATACAAATGGTTTCCTATAGCTAATCAACAAAATTGATGGTTGTGCAAAATAGGGATTAGATGTCAATTGATATAAACGCTATTTCACCAAACGTTTTACAACTTAAAGTAAAAGAGGCAAATGTTCCTGAGTAAGCCTACCATCAGTTGGTTCCTCCTGTATCCATGGTTGAAAGTGTACCTCTGCCCAGTCCCCTCTGTCGTTTTTGTCTCTAATTCTTGAGGAAATGTCAGACGTAGAGTTGAATCCCCACCAGTTAAGGGTAGCATTTACAGAGTCATACCCGGTTATGTTTGGTGTTGCTAACTCAGCGTCGTTCGCTGGATTGGTGAGGACGTTGTCGTGCAGTTGGACATCTCGGCCCGAGACAATCAGGGTGTGCTTCTCCCCTGGAGTTAGTCCGATGTTGTCGTAGAATAGATTGTTCTCACATCTCTGCAGACTATTTGTTCTACTTCGTCCTTCCCAGGTTACAACATGTTTCCCCGAGTTGTTAAAGAAAACGTTGTTGCTCAGTTGCCCATCCACATTTTCGAACTTTACAACATTTCCATTGGAACCGACATCATTGCTGTAGAAGACGTTCCTGTCTATCAATATGGGTTGCTGTGTCGTACTGAAGCTGTCTCCTGTCACAATTATAGTAGACTTTCCAGAGTTTCTGAAGAAACGGTTGCCCAGAACTGTTATGTTTCCACCTTTCTGGTTTGTCAGGTCAAGAGATAGGCTTGTCATCAAGTTGTTAGCAATGTAATTGTTTCTTAAACCGATGTAGGAGTCCATTGGACAGCAACTGATCACAGCTTGCTTGTTGTCGTTATTACGTGGTTGATTATGCATAAACATGTTACGTTGGATATCATAGATTTCGCCATTTGCCGTGGTGACGTTAATAACTGTGCCTCTGGTGCTATCCACCGTGCTGGTCTCGATGATGTACTTAGTTGGATCTGCAACATCTCTCACGTTATAGAAACTGACCTCTCCGAATATCTCGTTGCTATCCCAGTAGTAACTTATGTACTGAAGACTCATCATCGTCTGGGAGACAAACCGGATGTACGTTTTGCCGTTATCCGATCGAGTAACATGTCCAATCTGTTGAGTGTGGCTGCCGTCAGCAAAGACCCGTAATCTCGAAGAGTAGGATTGGAACTGAACGAATGAGACCGTGAGTTCAACCGTGAAACCCACACCTGCGTACAGATGTTTATAACATGTTGAGCTGGTCCTTTCTGTCTCCACATGTACGAAACACATGTCATTCTTGAGATGGAGATCGGAATCCCCGCCACAGAGCCTGATGATCGATCCAGGATTAGCCAAACAGTTTGTAATACTGTGCGGTGTGAGTTCAAATGACCCTGCTGTAAAGACACTGTCTGTGATACGTACTTTTGTTGATGACATAACACTCGACTTTCTGCCTGTGATAGAGACACCCGCATATCCGTCACAACCAGAAATGTTCACATTTGTAACGCTCTGTGTGGTATTCATTCCTAGTAGTTGTATCCCGGTCCCCACACACTCAGATATTTCAATGCTGGAAATATCTGTAGTACCATGCACTTTTTGGATTAATATTGCTGCGTGTGAACGCCTGTGCAGATTGCCTGTGTTGCTGAACTTCAAGTTTGTAAGGACCTCCGTGGTTGCAGATTTGGATGTGATCCCTCCCCATTTTTTCATTATGCATGTTGGCCGAGGGGACACCCAAGTATCCATGTTGCATCTTATTCCAACATCGTAACTGTGCGTGCATCTGGAGTCCACATTACCAGGTGGGCCACGAAGACAGTTAAATACACTCATCTCATTCCCAGTGCAGTCTGGCCTACTGGTGTAATAACCGATCCATATAGGTCCCGATCCTTGTCCAAAGGAGTACGTGCTATAGACTGTGGATGAGCCGTATCCTAGCTCACGGCAGACGACATTTGCATCTTGTGAGTCCCAGTAGTGCCTCCCACATACACTACCCCATTCTCCATTATAGAACACCTCCACACGGCCTTCCCAAGGGTACCGCCCTCCCACCAGCCGGACCTGGGGCTGATGAACGGGCACGTCCGCAAGCTCAAAAATGATTGGTTCTGAACGTGTTCCTTGTGCAACGAGAGAACCTAGATTCAACAGACCAACGCATGGGTGTACCTTGATAGTAGTCCCTGGGTCTATGGTAAGTGATGCGTTTTTTAACACAGTTAAATCTGCTTTGATGGTGTAGGGACCTCCATCCTTTTGAAGATGGAGTAAATTATACAGCCTCCCTCCGATGTTGTCAGTTGCCATGGTAACATCCCGGTTAGAGGGATCAGCGGGTGGTGAGGATAGGTCAGGTCCTGTCAGGTACGGGAAGTAATCCACAGCCGCGCGGTCGTTCCAGTCGTCAAAGTCATGAATTTTTCCTTGAATCTCAGTTTCAACCGCAGTTCCCCACCAATTGTAACTTGCTCTGATAGTCCAATCAGAGGTACCTGAGTAAACTCTACTGCAAACAGTATAGTCCATGTCTTGATCATCCAAAATATTGCTGTGCATTTGGATGCTTTGTTTGTATCCGCCGATCTCAATGGTACAGGACGTGTTGTCAGGATGTTGTTCATACTGATTTTCGTCACTCATTGATGGATCAAAGAAATTCGCTTCAAACCTGTTTCTTTCAATTTTGATTTCAGAAGGTATTCCGTACTGCAGAAAACCGGTCATAGCGAGCGATAGAGCTTCCCTGGCGTTATTGTTGATTACTGTATTAGACGTAAAACTGAGATTTTGTGCTTGGCCCTCTATTGTCATCGCCGGTTGATACGGACATCTGTTTGCAGATATTGTATTGCCTACGAAATTTAGTGTCCTTAGCCTGCCTGTCACCTGCAGTGCAAACCGTCCATTTCTTGTGATGGTGCTGTTTTGTATACTCACAATAGAGTGTTGATCCGACTGGACTTCTCTTGAGTACATACGTATTCCTCCTCTTCCATTTTCTTTAATGTAACTGTCGTAAATCTCCACCTCTGTGTCAGAGGACAGGTCCAGATCAATGCCATACCATGGATTATCCCTGCATGTTATGTTTGAAAGGTAGTAGGAGCCGTGTTGAGAGATTGTATGTTGTATTCGTACTCCATAGTCATTGATGATACTACTGTAAACAGATCGTCCATTTTCTATCACAGCCACGTCTGTTATTGAAACCTTTCCTTGAATGTTGTACAAAAATAAGCCATGGACGTAATTGGATTGGATTAGTGAATTGTTCAAGCTAATGGTACCAACTATGCTTAAGGCTCTTATCCCGTAATTATTATCCACAACAGATATATTGTGCATTTTGAAGTCGCCACTTGATGATGTTATAGTTACGCTAAAATCATTGTTTTTAAAGACCGTTGAGTCTACTGTCAATTCGCTCCCAACTACATTTGACAAAGACAGACCTTTGTCAAAGTTCTCTACGATACAGTCTGACATAGGGAGTGTTTTCGTATTGCCAAAGTCGGTCGTGTTGCTGCCTGGTCTCATTACATCTAATCTTGCCACAAATAGCGCATTCTGCGAAGTAGAAGCAATTAAAGATAACGTCATGACAGGTGTAGTTGATGTGAATACTAGTGGAGTTCCAGAAGAGCTGACTTGGTAGGAGAAATCCACTGACCCAACTTTGAAGTTTTCATCTTGTTGGTGAGAATCGTAGATACCCAGAAAATTTCTCGATGATGGCTGGCTAAAGCTACTCTTTGTTACCACAAGACGAACTAAATAGCCTTCCGGGGCCCTCACAGTCTTATGACATCGAAGCCTCGCGTTTTTCCTGATGCCGTTTATGATCCACCTTGACGGTCCTTCCGAAAGGAGAAGATCTGTCGTCAATGAGCACATTTTTCGCAAAGAAACAAGTTGGCTTCCAGCATATGCTTCAAGTTCCCACCACGATAGTGAGTCGAATCCTTTAACATCGATTCCAACACCGTTTCTGGTATCAGAATTGAACAATGTTACTCCCTGTAAAGTGGTAGGTTGCGAACCTTGCAAATCAAAGTACTCTACTCCAGATCTAGCACCTACTACGTGCTCCATTAATATGTTGTTTATTGCGTTTTGTGATGTAGATCCCTGTATTGAAAGACCAGATGCCTTGTGTAGGTGCATATATCCCACATGGAAAAGATTGACATCATGCGGTTCAAACGTTTTGTGCGAGACCGAGACGATGCCTCCCCAGCCAGGAGTGGAGTAGCAAGTTAACTTCAGGTACCTGTACGAGCTATAGCTACCCCCGCATCTACTTGCATGATATAAGCTGCACTCTCCAATGTTGTCTTCGGATCCGTCACATCGGATAGTGAGCCAATTTCGAATGGAGGAATCGTAGCTACTCGTTGCAGACTTAAAGGAACCCAGCCCCAACTGCTGACAGACGATCGTGGCGAACTCGCCGTACCAATCATAGCACACAGGAAGCCATTGCCCGGAGTACAGCACTTCTAGTCGCCCCTCTCCGGTGTTGGTGCCCCCCATTAGCCGAACTGGAATTGTTCGGTTCGACACAGTTTTACGGGTGACATCAAATGTTATAGGACTTGATGGAAGTCCGTCCAACTGAAGTTTACCAAGATTGAGGATGCCAACACGTTCATGTACACGGAACTCGACTCCTGCCTCAACAATGAGAACAGAGTCTGGTAAGATCGTGAGGTCCCGTGTCAGGATGACGGGGCTATCGGAGATGGTTAGCCGCAAGGTTCCATTCAGACGACCGCCTAAAAATGAGGCTGTCATAGTTTCTCTGTCTTGAGTGCTTATGGGGCTGCCTGAGGATGAGCTTAGGTACGGGGAAAACTTAATCAGGCCTCCACTGTACCAATAATTGTTGTCAAATATCTTTCCCTTTATCGAATCGATATCTACAGTTCCCCACCAATTGTTTTCTGCTTTGATCTGATTAACATCAAATGGATGAGAACCGTCACCGCTGCAAAGTTCTAAACCAGCTGGACTATTGAGGAACGAATTTCGGGTTATGGTGTGCTCTTCTCCGGATGACACAATCTCGATGGTGCAGTACTCATTCAGTGGATTGGATATGTGTGCCAATGATTCAGGTTCGTATTCATTATTTTCGAAAATGTTACCCTCCAAAAAAAGAGGATGAGAGCCAGCAGACACATCGGTCGTGTTAAACAGCACCACCCGTCGGCAGACATTACCAACAAACCTGTTTCCTGTTATGTTTACGGTCTTGTCGTATCCATGTACATGGATGACTGACTTACTGCCACATTGACTGGAGTCAAACTCGACGTCCTGTATTGTAACTTCCGCACGCGTCCCGCCGACATCGATAACCGTCGCCATGTTGTCTCGATGGACTCCGCCAGTGAGTTGAACGACCGGAAAGCGATCTTCGTAAGAGTTGTCAACAGTTATCTTGACCGAGCCGTTCTTATTAGAGGTGAAGTCTGACTGGTCTATGATGATTTGGTCGGAGATTGGTGGAGAGGCTATAGTCTGATATTCTATTTCTAGATTGAATCCACTTCCAACGTTACCTTCCACAACGCCGTTACGCATGACTGTGTGACTTCTGCTGCCCGACATCCCGATATATCTGGCATGAAAACCATCCAGACCGTTCTGATCAAAGTGGCAGCTGTCAGTCACAAGGCTGACATGGGTTGTGGCGACCACACTGAGACCGTGATGGGAGTTGGTACTGAAGTTAGACTGACGTATGTCCACGTTCATCGGGACGTCAGACAGCATCAGACCGGCACCGCTGTTCTGTTCAAACGTGCTGTCAGTGATCTGGAGGCTTGATTTTGTGTGTCCCGCAGTGACCTGCATCCCGGCTGGGAAATTCTTACTAAAGGTGCTGGAGACAATGGTCACGTCTGCTGAAGGGTTTGTAACTATTAGGCCGACTCCCTGATTCTCTGAGACATCGCAATTCTCCATTTGTAAGAAAGTCATTGTGTTATTAACTCTAATAGCTGCGTCTCCAGAGTACCTGACACTGACGTTTTGCAGCAGAGGCGGAACTGAAGCGCTGAAAATGGCGGCTCTTTCTGCGTTTGAATTTCCTCCTCCGGCATAGAGGATATCCACGTTTTGCAGTGTGGACTTCATAGCTACATCGGTTGTACGGATGTCTATTGCCTTCCAATAGACGTTCTCTCTATGGTTCAATCCCTCACATACCACACCGAGGTCTCCGCGGTTTTGGCCCTGGTCTTTTTATAAAAAAAAAAGAAAAGAAATTGAGGTAGTTAGAAGCATTGCATCCTAAACTAGAGTTTGGTAATCCCATACCTCTATAAAAAGTTAGTGCTTTTGTAAAAAGTTACGCATGGTTATGACCACCCGTAAATAGATTAAATTTGTAATTATTCTCGTGAAAATTTTCGTGAAAAGTATCCTCATGGCCTCTACCTAGTAACATGCAACACATCATTTGGCATTGACAAGGTATGATATTTTTGTTGGATATCAAATTTTATATATTTAACTTTAGACTATTTTTCAGGTTTCATACACATCAAGAGTTCCATGGCCATACCTTCGTCCAATTATTTTAACTATTTAAACTGACGAATTAGGCATTTTACTGTGATTATGCAAATCATAAGTAAGAGCCTCATTTGCATGGATTAGCTCAGTTGATCATATTCTCCATTCAGTGTCAGTCTTACCTGAGGTATAGAAATAAGGATTTTTAAGCATTTCCTTCTAAATTATGCAAGTGAGGAGGGAATTTGAATGAGTTATGTTAAAATATGTCCATCTTCATTGAACTTCCAAATATAGCAAGTACTGAGTATAAAATATGGTTGTTTTTGCGCAAGTCGTTAATACGCTATCCGAGATTACAGTTGTTGGCCTAAAAAAAATGAAAACCCTACTTATTTATTTCACTTTCCTCTGAACCATGAACACCCCAACAATGTAACGATTGTGAAATGATGATCTATTTGCCTTTACATGATGGCTGCTCATGCGCAATATCATCATTGGACAGAGATCCGGCATTATAATTTGCGTGGTTGTTTCTATTAATAATGAAAAACTTGATGAAAAAAACTCACGACACCAATGAGGTGGCAAGTCAAAATCGTGGTGGGTGCACTCATAGATGCTGCTCTCATTGCCGAGACATTGTAGGTCGGACACAGCCACGCGTCCTTTGCCGAACCGGTACTTGTTCTCCACTCGTCCTGTTGCGAACCCCAGTTGTCGACACACCACCTTAAAAATTAAAATGCATTTACTTTTGAATAGTCTACCGTAAAGAAACTATCTTAACTATAGGGGTATGTGGTGTTCATTGAAATGTCATTGCATGTAATAAAGGTAAGTTTTGTTTTCAATGTTAAAAATTGTTTACTTACATTAGCTTCTGAACCTCTCCAACTTCTCCGCCAGTTATATTGACAGAGAGAACCCCACATCCCATCCAATTTGACCTGGACACGTCCCTCAAACACGGTAGGACCCAGCAACCGGATCCTGTGGTCACGTGTCACATTGTTTGCTTCGTCGTCGGGAGGGTTCCTCTTCCGGTCGAAGATTACTCTCTGTTCTGTGGTGCCGATCTGTACATACATACCGAGGGGGGAGATCGTTGACTAAAATACCTAAGAAGAAAAACTGAATGACAGAACAATTGTATAAGGAGGGAATGCAGTACACCAAACAATGACATAGACATTGATCAAAGATAAAAACCAATCTGGGAGTAAAGGTTCTCTTTCTAAACTTTTTATGACAAGGATAAGAATGGCTCATATAAAGCAGTGTATAGACGAATTTAAATGTTTTTAAAGCTGGTAGCTGTCATTCAAACACCAACACTCAACTTAACTTAAACACCAACCCGCCAACTAACTGACCAAGCTAAGCGATCATGGCAATCCGTTTCTAGGCTAAAAGTCGCATTACTAGTGAGGTATCGGGTTACAGAACGCGTTCAAACGTGGCCGCGCGGACTCCCTGGCCGGCCCAGGGGGAACAGGTAAAATTTGAAAATAAACAAAAGTAATTGGAGAGTAAATACCCGTCAAAATAAAATGTATACATGTAACAAGTGCTTTACCTCAAATGTTATTCTTTCATTTCATTTATTTCGAAACCTTTTAGCCCTGCAGGGCTAGTCTTCCAAGGCTCAAATACATGGAATACAGGCACATCGTTACATACATAGGAAATAGTGCATAAGATACAGTGCAAACGTTTAAAAAGACAAGAATACATCAAACATCAAACATTTAAAGGAACGCACAAATGAATATTTACAATTTAAAAACTAGAGGTCGGCTTCATGTGACACTGTTTACTATGGCTTTCTTAAACTTGAGAAGGTTACTCAGTGTCTTGACATGATAAGGTAGGTCGTTCCACAACGATATTGCACGATACAGGAATGAGCGCTTCTTACTGTTCGTCTTAGGTTTGGGTAATCTAAAGTTGTACTGTGCAGAAGATCTGGTATTGTGAATGTGAGATACATGAACAGGCACAAGGGAGTTGTATATATACTGTGGTTCATGACTAGTGACAATCTTAAAGAACATAACCAGTGTGCTGGAGGAGAATCTCTCACTCACAGTCAGCCAACCAAGATCAATATGCATCTGCCTGGTAGGTGTATCAGGAGCACATTTCAATAACAATCTACAAGCCCTATTCTGAACTACTTGCAGTTTGCGCATGTTAGAGACTGACATGCTAGCTAAAACTGGTGCGCAATACTGTACCACTGACAAAACCAGTGCACAAACAACAACCTTACAAACTGCAAAAGGCATCGCCCACATGTGTCTTCTCAATAAGGCGATGTTTCTAGATTGTTTTGGGGCAATGTGAGTGACCTGTAAATTCCAGGTGAGCGACCGATCCATATGTAGCCCAAGCAAAACTGTCTCCCTCACTTCCTGAACCTTCTCATCACCGATAGCAAGATCTAGTGAATTGTCAGGTATATTATCAAGCCTACGTGGGGTTCCGAAAAGCATGCATTTGGTTTTAAGAATATTTAACACAAGTTTATTCATGCAAACCCAGTCTGATAAACTTACAAGGTCGGATTGCAAACCAACAGTGATGTCACTTATAGTCTTACCGGCTTTGTAGATAGATATATCGTCTGCGTACATTTCAGGTGTACTGCTTGACACAGACAAAGGTAGGTCATTCGTAAACAGTGTAAAAATAAGCGGGCCTAAACAACTTCCCTGAGGGACACCACACTGAAGTACAGAGGGTTCAGAGAAATGACCATTGATATAAACAACCTGTGTTTCACTGCCTTTGCTCACGGTACATTTCCTTCCAAATCAGATGTGTGCACGCGAACCAAACAACTGATTTTAAGGGGCCCCGAATATCAAAAATAAGATGTGACTTTTGGATTTTTAGAAATATTGCAGTAAATTTAAACGACCACCTGTTAATTGTTTCCGACAGCATACGTGCCAAACATTCGGACTGTGGCCTCGCACTCCCAGGAGATTTCAACCGTGTGGACATCACGGATCTGTGCAGAGGAGGTCATCTCTCGCAAGTTGTCAAAAACAAAACGCGGGGGAACGCCGTATTAGACCTCATCATCTTCAACATTCAAGATAAGTACCTGCGTCCATCCATCCTGCCTCCGGTGGGCCTTAGTGATCACTCTTCGGTACTCTGGACCCCGAAAGACAGACCGATCAACAACAAGCCCACTTATGCTGCGGTCCCAATTGAAAAAAGGGGCCCTGCCGGATAGTCCCCGGGCTGTTTTTTTTGGCACTTTCGGGCGTGACCCGTACGTGGCCCCGCGGGACACCCTGCGGCTACCGGGCTATTTTTGGGCCCGGCGGGGACCCGAAAAGAATTTAATTCTGACTTAAATTGTACCCGGGCCCCGCTGACAAAAAGACGCCGTGACCTCATCGTGAGAACACCGAGAGGTACCCCTCCGGTTGCAGGCTGTCCACCGGAACACATTTGTTACGTCACAGACCAGATGAACAGAATAAAGGTATGTACTTCGTAAATCCGGGTAAAATATGTGACGGCACAGATCAAAGGATCACAACAAAAGCGTGAATTCTGCATTACGTATAGGTCAGTACAAGGCATCGTCAGAGAATCTGCCGGGTACCTGCCGGGTGCCTGCCGGAGACCGACCAAAGAGGGTGACAAAATTTTTAACAAAATGCTACTGTAGGAAGATGAAGAGATTCATCAGTCACGTATAGTTCAAGTTCAGTAAGAAATTCTTTCAATCAGTGACTATTAAATCCTAAGGTACATACCTCCGAATTTTCGACGACTAGACAGTTCGTCTTGATCACGGAATGATCCTAGTCTCGCGAGAGGACACGAGACTAGTACGAGACTCATTTACAAGTTTGTCTGCGAACACTGCGGTGAGACGTATGTGGGAGAAACAGAGAGGTCGCTGGGGGAAAGGTCAGGTGAACACCAGAAGTCGATTGACCGTAAGGACTACACATCTGCACTTAGTCAACACCAGTTACAGACTGGACATAGGGTCACCACCCAACCTATACTAGACACGATCGAAATCATCGATCAGGAAGCCCGTAATGCCCACCGGAAGATCAAGGAGGCAGAGGGGTGCATAAGACCCACACAAGTCTCGTACTAGTCTCGTGTCCTCTCGCGAGACTAGGATCATTCCGTGATCAAGACGAACTGACTAGTCGTCGAAAATTCGGAGGTATGTACCTTAGGATTTAATAGTCACTGATTGAAAGAATTTCTTACTGAACTACTGTAGGAAACTTTTAATTGTGACCATGACAGCCGATGACCGCCCGACTCCTGAGTCCGACCGGGGCTGCATCCCCGACGGGCACCGGCGAAATTGTGACCGAAGCATTAGAAACGAGTCCGCCGCCCCCTGCGTGAAACAGGGTTGTTAGAATTCAGACGGTGGGTAACGATGCATGACTGGACTGAAGTGTATAATGCTCAGAGTGTCTCAGAAATGACAGATGCCTTCCACGGGACACTGGAACGTGCCATTGACACACACTTTCCTACCAGTCATAACAATCCACAGTACTGATTGTGACTCCTCAGATCAAACATCTGATAAGCCTCAGACAAAAAGCGTTTCATCAAAAACACGATGGCATTACGTGGAAGTTTTACCGGAACCTAATAACTCAGCGAGCGCTAGCTTGATCGAAAAAGAGTTACTACACCGATCGTGTTTCCAACCTCAAACAAGTCAACCCACTGTGCTGGCATCAAGAGGTCATGAGTATGGCTAATTTGGGGAAAGGTAGCAGTGATACCGGGTCTAGATACAGAGGATAGCACCACCGCCGCAAACATCATCAACGCAAAACTGGCTGAAGTATCCAAAGCTCTCCCTGGATTAGACCTCAGCCAGCTTCCCACCTTCCTACCCGCCACAAAGCCGCTCCCCACTTTGCATGTCTGGGACGTGTACCAGCGGCTCCGCACGATCAACACAAACAAAGCCCCCGGTCCAGACAATATTTCGTTGAAACTTTTGCGCGAGTTCGCCTGTGAACTGGCCTCACCTTTCTGCTCTCACTCCCTCTCACTCAGCTCCGCATGCCCCGCAGAGCTGGGGGCGTAGCGCCTCTGCATAGGGCTCTCCAGGACTGCCTGTCTCTTGCTGCTTCCCAGGCGGTGGTGATGTCAAGTCCTGTGGTCTGGAGGTCGGAGGACAGTTGGTCGGTCCAGGTGCGCCTCGGCCTCCCTCTAGGGCGGGACCAAGTGGAGGGAGGCGGTTCTCTCAGGTTCTCAAGGGGTGGTTCCGCCCTGGCAATATGTCCGAAGTCTGGTGAAGAGGCAGAGACGGGCAGACCGGATTTTACAGGAAAGTGTAGGCTGGTTAGTTCTTGTTAGTACCTTTCTGCCACGTCCTAAATTCTTCTTTTAAGGAAGGTGTTGTACCAAACCAGTGGAAGCAGGCCGTTGTTGTACCCCTACCTATTAAAATCACAACCGGTAAGTCTAGAACAACTAAGACCTATCTCCCTAACATCTCAGTTTTCACAGATAGCGGAGCATTTTGTACTGAATTGGATTCTGCAAGACATCACCTTCGACAAGAGGCAGTATGGCAGTATAAAGGGCCGCTCGACTGTCCATGCACTTTTAAGTCTATTGGACAGTCTGTGTACAGGTACTGACACCCCCTTATCCATCTGCACTCTAGTTGCCACTGACTTTTCTAAGGCGTTTGATATAGAATTCACCACAATACAGTCATCCTAAAACTGCTGTCTAAATGTCTGAGGTGCAAGTTGATCCCATGGATTTGTAACTTCATCTCCAATAGGAAATAATGTGTGCGGTACCATGGTTCACTTTCCACTTGGGAATATTTGTCGTGCGGCGTCGCTCAAGGAACGTTACTTGGACCTATTCTGTTCCTCACCCTTATCGATGACGCTGCAAGTAACACCTACACCCCGACATGGAAATACGTAGATGATATGAATCTTCTCAAGTCTAGAGCCCTCAGCCAACCCTCTACTCTCCAGCAAGAACTAGACGACCTCCATGGGTGGTCAACGAGTGACCACATGTTGTTAAACGGCTCCAA